AAAGATTAAATGACCACAGCAGATCTGTTGTACAGGTTTTTAGTGTGTGTGTGTGCGCGCGTGTGTGTGTTTGTTTTCTGCCGTCCAGATGGAAGTGCTTATTGAGTGCTGGTGTGCTGGCAGATCACTCTGACTCGGTGAGAGCGGGAGAAAATAAGGGAGGAGAAAAAGCAGAGTGGAAAACCTTTCCAATCAGATCCATCATCTTACTGCGTGCGTGTTTATACAAGTAGATGTGTGATCTTCCCATCCAGCTTTTCCTGCCTCCCTTCTCTAATCTTATCATGTCAGAGCAGCAGATTAGTCCTCCCAGATCTCATCTCGGCCTCCAAATGCCTCAATCAGCCTTTTGTTCTTTGGTTGTGCATGCTCTCCCCTCACGACAGGCAAGGTGAACATTCCCACACTCTGCCCTCCCTCCCATTTTGAGCTTTGTGTCAGTGTCACACAGCTACCAGCCCTGATCCAACATACCGAAGGCTCTCCTACCCCTGGGGCATTAGCTAACTAAGCAGCCTTCTAGCTGAGCTGAACTGCTTGACATTCCTTGCTAACACTGAGTTTCTGCTGCTGTTCTCGTCTCTTTGACCTCCTCTTTTTTTTTTTCCTCCCTCCCTGCCTCTCTTTCTGCCTTCTCCTTTGTCTGTATATTTGAGCTCTGTCTCAGCTTCCTCACATATGGTTGCCACCTCCTGAAGGAAGTCATAGAGCCTGACTGCTGTTGCCACCAGTGCAGGGACGTGTGTGTGTGGGGAGGGTCACTAACAGAGTTGGCAGAGGAAGAAGAGAGTGTTTGGAAAGGAGGGAAAATAAACAGAGGTTTCCTGTTAACAAGGTGCACTGCTGGGTCTGTCGTGTGGAAGCTGGAGGATCTGGTATTGTTTAAAGCAAGGAAGGCTGTGGTGCTAATGTGCAGAAAGGAGCAAGAGAAATAGGAAATTAGGTTTTAAGTTTGCAGACAATGACCACGGTGTCAAGGTTAATGTGAACAAATAGAGGAATTTATCATTTTCAGAGCTTTTGCAGTAATACAAGTTTACGCTTAATCACAAGTTTGGCCTTTTACAATTAAGCCTTCATCATCAACCAGCTTTAAATGTGTGCTTTGTCAAATAAACCCAAGGCAAAAGATGATCAGATGCTATATAAATATGATTTGGCTGATGACTTTGCATGGATGACAAGCTGTACTTCGTTTTTTTTATGTTTTTTCCTGTTCATGTAAAGATGATCATGCAACCGTCTGTTATTAGCTCTGAAACACAAGTGTCATGATCAACATGGATATATCCATTTAAGCCCTAAAAATTACTAAATAATAACGTGCACTTAATTTTTCATTTAGCCTTTATTTATCCAGGTTAGTCTCATTGAGCCACGATGTAGTCAACGTGAGGCTAGTAATAATGCTGCTGTGAATTGCTGCTGTTCAACGTATTGTTTTTATGCTACTAGTGCTTAGTGTATTTTTAGTTAACATTTTTCTTAGTTCATATCTTAAATCTTATTACTGTTTTTCTTTTACATTTTATACTTTTGTTGAATGTAGCTGGGACCTTGTGTACACAATTCCGTTCCACCACATGCACCACATGTGGTGTGTGTATGACAAATAAAGAACCTTGAATCCTTGAATAATGTCATGGTACATCATTTCTGCCTTCTAATCGTTGAAAATGATTTGCATTCAACATGGTTTTGTTGAGACACCCAGTCTGACACGAGTACTGATATAATGTTAAAAATTAAATGCAAAGACAAAAATTAGAGGAATGTACAGTGTCTGTGTGACAGTGCACTAAAGCATTTTCCTCTAAAATCAAAAACTATTTGTCATAAACAACTGTGATCTCATCATTGATCAAAATAATTGTGTCCATAATTATGCAGCCCTTGCAGTTTATACTCTCAAACACGGAAACGCCAAGAGGGAATGCTTTGGCTTTGAAAAGTAGTGTATTGATTATACAGTCTTTTCCTTGAAACAGAGAATTAATCCTTCATTCAGTCTATCATTTTAAGTGTATACTTTTACAGATATTCTCCATTAAGTAACAGCTGCTTTTTAATTCATTTAAAGACAGCAGGTTTAAAGAGGAAAGGCTGACCCTTGTACTCCCCTCTTACACCCAGTCTTTGTAGTATTGTGGCTGTATGCAGAGGCCCTGGCTGCAGAGTTGACTGCACACACATGCAACAACACAAAGAACACTGCACAGCCATTATGGACCCAAGGGGCCAGCCACCTTTAGTTGATCAGAAGCAGAATTAACAGCCTTACACAGTACTGGGCTTGTCCAAGATGTGTGCTTTAATGTTATTTTATTTTTTAAGATTGTTCTTTCTGCCTTTACTTCTTTACTTACTTAAATTATATACATTTATTTTAGTACCAGTCTTTAACCCTCTGAGATATGGCCTTTCTACATTTCCTGTCTGATGATGAGTAAGTTCAAGAACGCCACAGGCCAGTCGGAGCCACTGGAGGGAGAGGTTGCTATTGTGTTCATACCTAAAGCATGACTGTCAGATTTATATCACCTCGGTGAATAAAAGGGTAGCCTTGTGCCCTGGGGGTTTCAGTAAAGCAGGAGAGTTTTAATTTAAAGTCTGAGGAAATGAGATGGCCTTACTATGCCTACTACTATTTAATCCTACTTCTTATTCTTTTCTTATTTTGCTCTTTTTATCTTTTCTTCCCTGATCTTTTACACTTTTTCCCTCTGTTTTTGTTTTATTTACCCACTCAGTGGTGTGTTGGAAAGTCTTTTGGCCTCTTTGCAGTGTAGAGAATTCCCAGGCTTTATGGCCCATGTGGAGGGAGGGCAGCACCATGTTTAGCCTCTGGCAGGACAGACAAAGATGTCTGACATTGTGCGAGGCTCAGCTATCCTCAGCTCTCCACGGGCAGCATGGAATGTCTCTAATCAATTCAGCATTGTGGTCCTTATATGTTCTCACTCTGTCATTTTCTGTGGCAGGCTTAGCAAACCCAGACAATGCAACTGGTAGTTCGTTTGTCGAGTCTGAGCTGTCTGTCATCTCGCCTCGTTTTCTCCTTGTATTATCTAGCCATTTTTCCACCCTGCGTGTTTATAGAATTGTGATAATTGAATGCTATGCTCAACTCCCACTAAGTGCTCCATATGTTGCTCTCACTCTTTCTCTCCATTTCCCTCCCTCTTTTGCCTGAGAGGGCTTTACGTTGCGGTGAGCTTCATAACAGCGATCCGTTCTGGAGAGTGGAAGCTACTCTGTAGCAACAAAGATACTGATGACATTTTGCTTTAGAAAGTTAAAAACATGTATTTTATGTCTAAGAATAATGTGTGTTCATGCATTATTCCACTTGCCACATGCAGTTTTGTTTTCATCTGGCTCTCTGCTCCAGCGCTCTTTGATTTTTGTGGTTTTACAAGCAGAAAATGAAACGCTCAGATTGCACACAAGTGGCGTTTACAGTATTCTTAAAGTATTAATTATGTATAAGCACTAGATAACAAGTCGTTCTGCTGTAGTAGGCAGCCTGTTTGTCTAGAAGGCAGCAGTGTCGGTACACTGGATAGACAAGACACTGGGGTGGGCTGACTGCTGGAAAAGAAGGGGGAGGGACATGACGTAATTGCACACATTTTTTCACACACAGTATGCCTTCATGCTCGGGGGGTCCTTGTCTTAATCCATCAGTATTGCTCTCTGCTGAATCACAAGAAGTGTGTGTGTGTGGCTGTGTAATGTTGCGTGCATGGCTCTTATAATCATCCAACGCTGTAAATGCAGCTGAGAGACTGCATGCCAGCTGCTGTTTAACACGTCCAGGCTCACTTATTCGCTCCCTTCCTGCTCAAAGGTTGGGAAAAAACAAAGGAAAACAAATGAAGATGTGGTGGAGTGAACGGTTGGACTGAGTTAAGTGAAGGAACTGTGGGGAGAGGAAAAGCAGAATGGAGAGAGTAGGAAAGTCAGAGGTGGGCTTGAGGTTAGAGGGAGGTAGTGATTTGCTTGGCTGCTTGTGCTCAGCTTCCTCCCCAATGACATAACAGAACAATGTACTTGAAAGGCTTTAAATATCTTTACTTTAACCTTGCGTTCCTTCACACACAAAGATGTCTGCACACAAGCGTGGCTGTTTGTCTGCTTCTTCCCCTCATATTTTCCATGTTTCCTGTCAATCACGGGTGGTAGCGAGGGTGGTGCAGGTGTCTGTTTGCTGAGTGCAGTGCTGCTGAATCCCCTAATAAAGATGGCTTGAGCCAATAGGATTGTATGGCATTCCAGCACCCAGCTGAGCAGACTTTTTTTTTTTTTTTCCCCAAACAACTGTGATCGTCTGTTGGGCTTATATGAAGGTACAATAAATATTTTATGACGTGAAATGAAAACAGTGTTTTGCCCTTTTCATCCCTCACCTCAACATTGGCCTCAGTTTTTACTATTTTTTTTCCCGCCTCCTTCTTTTCTCCTGTTTTTTCTTTGCCTTGGTGAGTCTCTTTTTGCCTCAGTGCTGCCACCTCCTGGTCATTTTAAGAATTGCCAGCTGTTTCTGACTTGCACTTGATGAAAACGCCAGTGGGTGGCAGCAAAAAATGAAGATAAAAGTCCAAGTCCTTGAGAAGATATACTGTACTTGTCCAAGAATGAGCTGTGAAAACATTGATGGGTTGTTAAATAGCTCAATTGAGAATTTATATTAAATGAAGTCTGATCTTTTTCCCAAAATTGTTATTCATCGTAGCTCCCTCAACAATGACCACCCCCCTGTTTACGTTATTAAATCTCCAAATGCCCTACAATCCCTTTTTAATTGACTTGGTCTCTCTGTAGGCTTTTTGGCAACAGTCTGTGCATGTCGTAAACAGTGCATCTGTACACCGCCTTTCTTTGCCAAAAAGGCCAGTTTATGACGTTGTAATCAAATCAAGTGATATCTGTTTATCTTGGTGTGGGAGCTTTCTGTGTCTCCTGTTCACAAGCTCCGTCTCTCTCTGTGTATGTTTCAGAGTAAACGGGACCATCTGCTGATGAATGTGAAATGGTACTACCGCCAGTCAGAGGTGCCTGACTCCGTGTACCAGCACCTGGTGCAGGATCGCAACAATGAGAACGGTGAGAGTGCCCTTTTTGTTTTGAAATGCACGTGTGTGTGTGTGTATACGCAACACAGAAGGGTAAAAGTAAATGCAGCTAAATTCTGTGTATCAAAGCCCCTCTATCGCTTCACAACACGTGCACACCTACTTGTCCCCGCTCTCCAGGCTGTTGTGTGATATGGGAGCTGGCTGTGAATTGCATCTCAAACAGAAACCAGATGACGCTGTCCCGCGCTGCCAAGCCAATCCCACAGCCCTCTGCTGTTTCCTGGGTAACACTCCCTCAGGCCAGACAGCAGCACTGTCAAGTGTTAATAACCCGCAGTGTCATGTGGCCCTTGAGCCTACACCCTCTCAACACTGTCGGTGCCAGAGGACTCATCACACTCTAACACATACACATCTACAGGAACACAGGCACTGTCAGGGATGTTTTGCAGCTGAATATAGGATCTGATGACAACAAAAGAAGGTTGAAGATATCAGCTGATGGATCATTATTTAGATGTTATTAACAAAACTGTCATATTAAACCCCATATCTTTTTTTTTCAGATATTACAGTTGTAGACAGAACCATGTAAAAAGTTTTAAACCACCCATAATTTTTTTTATGTTTTGCCTCCAAGGAGCTGCTTTTTCACCTGTTTTCTCTCAAGTTCTTGTACTTTATCATGACAGTTCATTGTGTGCTTTACAACATTAGAAAAGTGCGAGAGACAAAGCAGTCTGGCCTGAAAAAACTATAGACAGCAGATTCATTTGAAAGTCTTGCCTTAGAAAACCAGCAAACCTGACACAGGATCTGAGAGATCCTTCAGTTAATCATTTACTCTGTGCCAGGTTCCTGGTTAATAACTCTTTGAAAAGTAGCTTTGTAACCCAAAAATCTCTCTCACAGTGTAATATATTTACTATTTTTTTTATAAATCTAACTAAAACAATGGGAACAAGTTGTGCCAGTGTATCAGACTGCTACCGTATTTTCGCCCTATAAGTCACGTTTTTTTTTTTTTTTTGCATAATTTACATGCCCTGCAACTTATATGCCGAAGCAACATATTTATGTATTTTTTCCCAAATTTATAAACCATTTTTTGGTTGAGATATGAACATTTTCATTCATTCTGACTGAAAAAATTGAATACTACCATTTTCACATGGCACTCGAGTAGTATGGCATGCCGTTGTATCATGTAATAAGTAAAAGTGGCTATTAATGACACAATCGGCTTGTTAATGACACAATCGGCTTGCCATATCCTGCCACCTTCATTCTGCTCGCTTTGAGCAACCAGCAAATCAGCTTCATTTCACTGCACCGCCCCGGTGAAATGCAGCTAATTTGACCTGTAAATCCTTATTGAGTGAAGTCCTTTTATTAAGTAAAAGTTCAACTGAGTCACACCTTTACTATAAAGTCAAGCAAATGCATAAATGTTTTAGGTGCTTATCTTGTTAAATTTTGAAGAAATGCACAGCCAGCGTTCCTCCTTCCTGATTTCCTCCCTGTCTGCGCGCTCCCAGAGCACAAAGGCAGCAAATACTTTTGAAATGCAGCTGATTTGACCATTAAAGTCCTTTCATTAAGTAAAAGTTCAACTGAGACACACCATTGCTATAATGTCGCGCAAACAAATAATTGTTTTAGGTGCTTGTCTTGTTAAATTTCGAAGAAATGCGTAGCGACTCATCCCTCTGCGCGTTCCTACTTCCGCATATTGGGTTTTGAAATGCAGCTGATTTGACTGTAAAAGTGGATTTATTAAGCAAAAGTTAGACTGAGACACACCTTTACTATAATTTCGAGAAAACAACTAAATGTTTTAGGTGGTGATCTTGTTAAACTCTTGTTAAAGTCCTCCTGTGCAAGCTCCCACGGTCATCATTTGGCAGCCAGTCGATTTTTGGCACACCGGCCCACATTTCCTGGTTGTCAGCGGTGACGCGTCACAGCAGTGACACAAATTAGATGCAACGTATACGGCAAAGCGACTTATTTGTGGATTTTTCCACTTTATTCGACATATTTGGACTGATACGACTTATAGGGCGGTGCGATGTGTACGGCGGAAAATATGGTAGTATCAAGTTCCTAAAGATCCAGTTAAAAGGATTTTATTTTTAATTTGTTTTATTTTTGTTTAATTGTCTATGTTCAGTACTTGGGTCCTGTGGGTGTTTAAAGTACTCTATAAATAAATCTGGTAACAACACTGGCTCATCTTTTGAGCTCAGAAATCTTTTTATGCCTGAATGATTCCTGCTTCAGACACAAGCAGCGTAACAAACAAATAAAATAATTAATTGAAAAAAGTTGCCAAAGTCCAAAGAAAACCTCTAAAATACCTTCAGGAAGACGGGAGAACTATTAATCAAGATTACTTAAAAAGATTACAAGAAACTCTGGCTGCCTGGAAGCCAAGTATAAAGTCATGAGGGATAACTCGAGACTTTTTCTCAGCACCGTTTATCTTTTAAGCTCGGTGTTCCAAAAATGATAATTAATTTGTCATGTTTATCATTAATCTCTCATTTGTTTTTTCACTATTTTACATCTTGTTCCAAACGTTAGCAAGAACAGCAAGAACACTGTCTCCAGATTATTTTGTAACTCATTTGAAGCCTGAATCTAATCTGTACTTTTCTTGGGAAAGCTGCACATTCTTTAAAGGATTTTTTTTTTTTTTTTTACTCAAACTCTGTTTTGGAAAACTCACCTTGCTCTGTCTCATGACACACAACCTCTTCCTGCTTGTAGTGGCTCACCTTTTCTGAGTTCGCTTCACAGAACACGACAATAAAAACGTAATCGGTCAACAAATAGGACATCATCACAGCTGTAACTAAACCGGAAGCTGAGCCGTTTTCTTTGGATTGAGATGATCTACTAATCTCCCTTTGTGCTGCTTTGCAAACCTCTTCAGTTCCCTGCAGCATGCTGCTGTCTGCAGTCTGTCACTGCAGGATTGTTACAATTGATTTCACGAGGTCAGACCATGCAGCGGGCCACTGCTCTGGTCTTTGGCCAAAGATAAGTCTTTGTCTTCCTTTTAGAGATTCATCTCATCACCTGCTGAGATAATTTCACTTCAGAACGGGACATTACGTGCTCCTCTCGAGGGAATACATTTGTATTGACTTTATTAAACTGTGATCTCTGCAGAGGTTCTGGCTACTGTGTTACTGTATTAGTTTATGAAGGAGCTAAATGCATAGTTGTTTTTTTTTTGTTGTTGTTATATTTGCAACAAAATTATAAGCTTGGTCAGTTTGTTTGGTAAATTTAAATTTGTATTGAGCACGTGTTTGTTTTCCTTTCTGCAGACTCTGGACGTGAGCTGGTCATCACAGACCCGGTGGTCAGAAGTCGAGAACTCTTCATCTCAGACTATGTGGACACTTATCATGCTGCTGCTCTCAGGTACACAAACGCTCGCTGTAGAGCTTTATAAATAAAAGTAAAGCTGAACTTTTGGAACAGGATCAGTTTTCCTCAACCATCTTTTAAACTCCGTCCGGTGTGTTTCAACGATTGTGGAGCAACTCTCACTGTGGGGGGAGGGTTTAAGCTCTCTTAACACCTATCAGATTTTATTTTTGCTTAGTTTTTTGTTTGTTGAGTTCAGTTATGTTTTTTTTTTTTATTTAATTTAGTACATATTTTACAGATTTTTTTTTTGTGGCGCCCTCTGCTGTCCTTTAGGCTTGACAGTTTTTTCTCAGATTCAGGCAACACTTCTGGATTTTATTTGGTTAAAAAGCATTTACATAGAGTAAAATAATCAAGTACATTTGGGGAAAGTTATATTTTACTCTAAAACATTTTTACTATTAAGTCAAATTTAATATTGAAGTAATATTAGGAATGTTAATGCCATATCATTGAACTATTTTTATTTTAAAAAATGGCCCCATTTTGGTCTAAAACTCAAACTCTGAATATCTCTAAAGATGCTGCAATGAGTTTGATAAGAAATATCCAGATGAGTTTAAATTTTACTCAACAACAAACTGATATCAGCACTTGATTATTCCTGTGTTTCCGACAACTTCAATAAATCAATTTTAATTTTTTTAGAAAACTGATTTATACGATTGTGCAAATGTAATACAGTTTAACACTTTAAAAGGTTTAGTCTAAACTAATAAAATGAGTAAAAATGTGTAGAGACAGTCTTAAAAAAAGGCCTGAAATGTACAAAATTAGATTTTAAAAATTTTCAGGGACTGACAAGTTTTGGGAAAAAGAAAAACTGAGAATGGAAAAAAAGCAAAATTAGGATACTCTTATATTTAATGCATTTCTAGAAAACACTAATCTGAGATTTTTTTAATTGCTTAAACAAGATGGGTATTTTGCACCTTTTATATCAAATATGAACGTTTGGGTTTATTTACCACCAACGTGGTCAGCTTCTGGAAACAAGAAACTGAAATAATTTTCTTTTTGTGGAATATTTTGTTTATATTTGTAAGGTCATTTAGGAAAGGGCAAGTAACTATTTGGTTGAGAAGCGGATACAAGCTCACGTAAAAAAAAGAAAAGAAAATGATGGAAAATTTACATTTTGGGATATTAGTTATCTGTAAGGTTCTGATAAAAAAGTAAAGGAAATTTTACATTTAACGTGTCTTAAAAACAATAAACAAAACAGTGTATCATTAAAAAAAATCGTAAATCACTTGCAGTTGCAGGCAGTTACTTTTCTTTTTGGAATGCAGCGTGTAATGGCATTTAAAATAAATGAACAGTTTTTTTTTTTTATTGAAAGGACAAATCCTTTACATTAACATATAGATAATTAAACCGTAACATTGTACAGAAATGGGGAATTACAGTAAATTTATATACATTTGTGCACACAAAAAATAACTTAAAAAATGAGTCTGGAAAAGTACAGAATCTCAAAATGCAGAATAGTATTGCATAATTTATAAATGTGATGCATGCCTCCCATTAAAACACTTTATACACTGCTTCAAAGTCAGCTACAGACAAAGGAACGCACAGAAAGATGCACCTGTCTGAGGCGCTGCAGTGCTGCTGCTCTTTGTTTCATGTCAGCAGAAACACGCAGGTTTAATCAGCGATCATTCGGCCTCCGTCTCTTCATCTGCTCCTCACTAACTGCCCCTCCTCCTCCTCCTCCTGTCCCCCTTCTCTTTAACCAGAGCCATCTGCGAGCAGCAAAGCCATGTCTTCCAGAAACCACCGATTTCAGGGAAAATTAGCTGCAACCTCTCCTACACAGAGCTCCCTTTGATTTGACTTACTCTCCAGGCTTTAGATAAATGGGAGGGAATTCCAGTGGGATGCGGTAATGCCGCAGCGCTCTGAAGCCTGCTCTCCTCAGCACCCTTTAATCTTTTTCACAGGGGAGGAAAATACCATTTCTCTGCCAGGCAGCCCCAACTCCTTAGGCCTGTGTTGGTTGTTATTTTGGTGCAGTAGGACACTAGGGTGCTGGATACAGGAAATGGTATCAAGATGTGGTCAGAGCCTCTGCACCATCAGATCAATGTTTTTGGTGAAGGGTGGGGATGAAGATTGAAATTCCTCTTTTTTTTTCTGTAGCATCTGTCTCCCACATCTCAGCAGCAGGGGACAAGTTGGAGCTGGCATGTTTGTGGCTTCAGTAGCCCAAGCCTGATGTCTCGCCACAAGTCAGGACTCACTGACTGACAGCAGATACCTGCTGCTGTTTGTTACTTCTAATAGATTAACATCCAAAGAGCTTTAATTCCAGCTTCTTCTGATATTGTCATGTTAGTGTTTTTTTGTCTAATAGAGCTTGTCTTCTCTCCTACAGGGGGAAATGCAACATTTCCCATTTCTCTGACATTTTTGCTGCCCGGGAATTCAAAGCCCGCATCGACTCCTTTTTCTATATCCTCGGATACAACCCAGAGACCAGGTGAGCTGCTCTGTTTACATCCTCTGATAAATGATCATGGCTGCCCCTTATCATTTCCCTCAAGGATTTATATAAAACACAGCTACATGTAAACATTTGCTTCCCTTCTTGAATTATCTTTCTTCCTCTGTCAAGACACAAGGAGGTTTAAAAAATGTTGAAAGGAACATCTTTCCAAAGTGAACCCCCCAAAATATTCTGTTTATGTGCCCATAATTTAAAAAGAACAACACCACAGCCCTTTACAATAAACACCAGAAGCAGTTAATATGTTGCGCTGTCCTGAAAAATACTCAAAAATATTAACACACATTTAAATCAAATTTATTTCCTTGTTAGGTGATAAGATTGTTCCATCCATCCATCCATCCATTTTCTTTACCCGTTTATTCCATTTTGGGTCACGGGGGTCGCTGGTGCCCATGTCCAGCAATCACTGTGCGAGGGGCGGGGTACACCCTGGACGGGTCGCAAGTCCATCACAGGGCCACATAGAGACAAACGAGACAAACAACCATTCACTCTCTCACTCACACCTAGGGGCAATTTAGAGTTACCAATCAGCCTAACATGCATGTTTTTGGACTGTGGGAGGAAACCGGAGTACCCGGAGAAAACCCACGCATGCACGGAGAGAACATGCAAACTCCACCCAGAAAGGCCCCTGGACCGGGGTTTGAACCAGGGACCTGCTCGCTGAGAGGCAGCAGCTCTACCAGTTGCGCCACCGTGCTGCCCATAAGATTGTTCCATTTTACCCAAATATTTTAGATTTTATTTAACAGTTAAATGTAAAAGCATGCAGTGTTTAAGGACTTTTATCATTAAAAATTGATAAGAGTTGAGTATTTGAACACATTTTTATATAAAATACTGCTAATTTTTTTTCAATGCTGAGAAATTAAATACTTAAGTTGGCAGCTTTAAAATTATTGTTTTTTTTATTACAGTCTTCTGTTTTTGTCTGGTTACATGATGCTTTCTGCTCATTAATCCTGATCATCTTTTCAATAAACAAGAAATTAATTTAATGCTGTGTAATTACCGGTAGGGGGAACGAGCTGAGAACCCCCTCCCTGTGGCGTTTTAAACGATTCAAGCATTGATTTTATGACTGAAATTACAAATAGGTCAGATTTTAATTACATATATCTTCGTATCGATTTCATGGAGCATATTTTTGACATGTGACATCAGGAGCAGCACAAGTGAAAATAATAGATCGACTCAACTGTTCGACTCTGCAGAATGTTTGATGTGACATCAATACAATTTGCCTGGCATTTTGAAAACACGCGTGGTTTCAAAAATTATATTTTATGAAGCACTTTGGGCTAAATGTGCACAATAAATTCCTGCTGTAATAAATATTTTTCTTATTTTCTTGTATGCTTTCTTATGCATTTAGATTTTACTTATTAGTTAAGCTGCATCCAGTGATCTTGTCTACTGGTGTGAATGGTTGTTCCTAGAACAAAGTTGTAAAAATTCTGCTTTGTCTGTTTTGCTTATTTTACAAATTTTTCAAATGGTGTTAGTAACAAGACATTTACTGAATTATGGTCAATTTCATAGCTACTGTTGTGCAATTGTAGACATTGTTTGCTTCAGACGGTTATTATTCAGACTTAACATGGATGGTTTGCAACTCACTTTACTCTGAATGTGTTGTAGTTATCCACTTATTCTCCTCAATATAAATAACCATATCTGTGTTACTACTGCGAAACATGATGGTTTAAATTGAAGCTTTCTGTTGAACGTATAAAATGTTTAAAGTGTGAGTTTTATTACTGAAATATGATCTCAAAGAGGTCTCAGTCTGACAATTAGTTAATTTGATGCATGAGGATTTATTTGATTCTCCTAACCGATCATTTTGACTTATCCACATATCAGGTGAAATATGAAATTTTAACCTCTTCAAAATAAAAGATATTCTAAATAATCTAGCTCCTTAAACTGAAGTCTTTACAAATGGCCTGACTGTGGTGTCATCTAGCCAAAATTTTAGTTTATGTTGGAGAAAACTGAATAATAAAGCAACACGTAATGAAAAAAAAAAATTTAAATATTGCAACTTTTATAGGATGTACATTTACAACTGATTAATTTTTGGTGCCAACCCAATAAACTCACCTTAGAAAACACCAAAGTGTGTATATCATATTTTCCAGCATATAAGTCGCTCCAGAGTACAAGTCGCATCAGTCAAAAAAAGCATCATGAAGAAGAAAAAAACATATATAACTTGCATTTATTATGCATCACCGCTGACCCGTCGCTTTTATTATGCATTTATTTAATGGTCAGAACAAATTCATTTTGCCTGGATGTCGCAGTCCCATCCATCCATCCATCACGGACGGAGCCGCTAGCTCTCCACTGTTCCTCCGCCTGCACCAGCTGAGTGACGTTAGCGCGCACACGAGGACTCGCTGTTGCAGTTCTTAGAAATTTAAAGCATCAGTCAAAAATTGCGTTATGAATATGGGAGAAAAAAACCGTATATAAGTTGCTACGGCGTATAAGTTGTAGAACTGATAAATCTATGCAAAAAAAACAGCGACTTATACGCTGGAAAATACGGTAATTCAGTCAGTTTTACAGTTATTGTGCTAAAATTAGGTGTAGTGGTAGCTGAGAGTCATCCACAGCACATACTGCGAGTTCAAATCATTGCATAAAAAGGTTGCTTAAAACTTTAGCATTAACTGATGGAGCTAACTCTGTCTGTTAGCAAAATATCTCATGAACCTCTGGATCAATTTTAGTATAACTTTTAGGAAATAATCACTGGATGTACATCTACAACTAATTAACTTTTGGAGTCAGCTCAATTCAAGATGGCCACCACAGCTTATTGAAAATATACAGCACATAACTGTCATTTTTACAGATATTGAGCTAAAATGTGTTGTGGTAGTAGCCGAGAGTCTTTCACATACTCTGAGCATGACATCTCGAGACATTATATAATTTTGCCCAAAGCCTTGTATTTAAGGTTTCAACAAGACGGCTACAACTTTATTCCTCATCCTAAGAGGACTGTTGCTTAAAACTTTGGCTTTATGGTGGTGGTTATGCATATATTAAAATAAATTCAGAATTAATTTTTAAACTGTTGTGGGATGAGCTGATCTTGTGCAGCTCAGTGGGTGAACCCTTTTAGTTATTATTTACTGATGGTCACTTGTTGCGGTGACAGCTGTCCTTGTTAGTAGCACCAAGGGTTGTCAGTCAGGAGCCCCCCCTCTCCTTTGGGGCCCCTGTTCGGTCCCGGCCCCCTCCCCCTCCTCCTCTCCGCTTGTTTCGTATTCAGAGCGAGGTGTCTGCAGCGTTGCAAATTCCCTGTTTATTATGGTGCAGACATGCGAGCAGAGACGCAGCACATCCTGCATGTGTGTGTGCGCTCGTGTGAGGTCGCTGCGCATGCTCAGTAGCGCCCACGGAGGAGCGAGCCGAGCCTGACGACGTATGTGCGTGCGGGCTGAGGTCACAGCACAAGCTCAGTGAGCACCGCTCCGGAGCCGAATGCGTGCGTCTCCATTTTGAGCGCATAGATACACAGGCGCGCGCGAGAGGGGAGCTGAACCCAGCGAGCATTGTGTGCAAACATCGTGTCAGCACCCAGCCTCAGGGCTCCATGTCAGAAATGGACGATCTGTTCAGTCCCCGGAGGTAGGTGCGCTCATATTCTCCTGCTCTCCTCCTTCCTCCTCCTCCTGTGCTGTTATTTTCCAGGAGCGTTGCTCGGCGTTTTATTTGCACGACTCGCATTTCCCAGCTGTCTGACAGAAGTGTGATGTTTGCCACCAGTCCGCGTCACTGTCATTGTGTTTGTGAGATGGAGGAGTGTGCACAATGCCTTCTGCGTGATGTGGAGCATGCAGGACCGTCACTGCAGTCACGCGTCGGCGCTGCCATAATTAGACAAATCTAAACATATAACAGTGTCCCTCTTTTATCACGTCCTCATAAGGGCGCAGTGCTTCCAGCGCCTCGGTCCTGACGTTGCTGGTGTAATGACGGTACGGAGACCCGGAGAGGCTTCCCCGGCTCCATTTTGCGGCTCCTGTTTACAACCGGGATGCCATGATGGCGCGTCAAGAGCTGCAGTGAAAGCTCAGCCGGCTCTGCCATGTCTGCATGCTGCTTGTTGTCACACAAACCTTTAACTTGGCTCTGTCTTCGCCGTGCTGCAATTATGTCAGTGTGCCACAGGCTTGCGTTGCGATTGGCTGGAATTGATGGAGGGGGCGGGGTTTACCTTGATTACGCACACGAAGTTGCTCAGGCTGTCACTTTGTTTTGGTTCTATTAAGAAGCCTGTAATTACTTAGCAAGATTGTGTGCTAATGCCATCTTAAGTTGAACCTGTGACCAATGTTTACAGCTTATTAATGAAAAGAATAAACATTGTAACTTAGCTGTCTGTTAATTCATTCTTCCAGATTAGTGTATAAAGGAAAAAGTATTTGTAGGAATTATTACAATTAACAAAAAGGCTCATCCTCTTCGTTGCCTTTATCTGTTTCCTTGTTCAGTATGCTGGTTCTGTTCAGCTGTGCCTGCAGTCTTTTTGGAAACTCCTCTGATCCTCCTGCTGCAGTCTGTATTCTGCTTCATCTCAGAGGACCTTTGCAGCATTAAAGCTGGGCTGTCTTCAGACGTGCCGTTTTTATTGTGGCGCGCAGGTCCTCGTTTGTCATCCTTACAACTTCTGCCAAAACACTGTGGACCTGACCGACTGCACGTTGTCAGAAACACGTCTGCAGAACTTTCTTTGTTCAAAAACAAAAGGCCAGCATATTACCGTGTTTATATTCATTTATATTTGTATTTGTTGGCTTCAAGATTACATTAGTTTTTATAATAATAATTTTATAAATCAGTCCTATCTTTCAAGTCACACTTTAAATAAATCTAAAATAGTATGAAAGGATCATACATCTGTAAAAAATTAAACTAAAGTTACAAAAAAATATGAGCACATTAAATGCAATTTTATCATTTTATTGTGAAAAATGGTATTTGGCCAATAAAACATGACGTAGAGCCGATAACGCAGGAAATAATCATATTTCGTTTTTATCACCACCATATATCATATTCAGTTTAACAACATTTTAGTGCATTATGTTTGGATCTTTTTTTTTTTTTATCCGCAGAGATTGTTATAAAATGAAGCAAAAAAATTTAGGCGAAGCTCACTTCCTGCATCCTCCATTTAGCTTTTGGGCTTTGCTGATGCCTTGATCTTTGCCAGCGCCTCTGTCAGCCTTAGTTCAGCACGGTGTGGATTTTGCTCGAGAAAACCGTATCTTGTTAGAGAATCTGTAAAGGAGGAGTTCTGTTGGGAAGAGGAAAAGGGGGAAGTCGGGTCACGTATGCACCCGTCACAGGATTTGTGTGGGTTTGAAGGTTGTAAAGAGACCAGAGGGGTTTTGGCCTCTCAAGTTTCCTCCAGGTCTGCGTGATGGAGTGCGAGCTTCTCTGGGTGCAAATCACGCTGACAGATTCTGGGCTGCCTCGTGCTTGCTTGTATGAAAATCAGTGTTGTTGCCTAGGCAACAGAGGGGAAAGGCTTTTCAAAAGGAACATCTTGTCATTTTCTTTAATCCACTGCAGCTGGAGAATCGGAACACTATTATTAAATAGCAGTTGCTATGGCTACCAACATTTGTACCAGCAGCCGATTTCCAGAGGCTCTCACCCTTCACATCCAGAGCCAGCTACCCTGCCTCCACCTTCATCATCCTCCTCCACCTCCTCCTCCTTTTAGGGGCTTCTGTTTTATTGCTGCATCCTTAATATCAGGTCTCTAAGTGTGCTCTGTACGGCTTACAGCCAGCCAGGAATATTCTTCTGTAATCTGTATTTTATTTTCAGAATAAACCACAATGCACTTGTTGCACTTTCAGTGTTCTTACCCATAAAGAAGTCCACATTATTCTTTTTTTTTTAAATATTTTATTACAGCTTATACGCATTTGTCCTTTAAATTTTCTGCTTCGTATCCTTCCGTTTAGCTGTGTTGACCGAATTCAAAGTGCGCAGGCAAATGTTTCACGGCTTGAAATTTTAATGGGTAAATATTTAGTTTCAATCCACTCTCATTGTCTCTTCTCAGGCGATTAAACAGCACACAAGGGGAAATCCGAGTGGGGCCGAGTCATCAGGTGAGTCGTTGTGCAGCACACATCAGCTCTGAAACAAGATGCTGCCTCTCGTGTCAGAATCATCGTTAACATTTGCCCGTCATTAACACACTCTTTCTATAATGCTCAGGCAAATTTTAAATTCAAATGGAAATCATTTCTCAAACTGTTAGACATTTAACTTTTTTTTAAGAGTTTGTGCAACAAATAGCTTAAAAAGACTAAAAACTACATATTGCCTTGTCTTCGCAAAAGTATTTTCACAAGTTAAAAAAGGCATACTGTATATCTAATTTTTTTTTAAAGAAAATATATTTACTGCTACTGTTTTTATATAATTAGGCAAATTATATTTATAATTTTTGAAACAATCATTTTGTCCTTGAGAAGCTTTTAATTTAATGTACAGATAACACAAAAGGCTTTACTGCTTTAAATCACTATTTGGAATTTTTTAGCATTATGCTATAATATTAGTGTTTCACCAGTACATTGTTCATTTAAAATAACTTCTCCCAAAAGGGAGTGTTTTAGTTTTGTTTTATTGTCTGACACACACACAAAGGATCATTTCTGTTCATGTCAACTTTATAACCTTTTCCAAACCTTTAAATAAATTGTAGCTGGAGCTCTTTAACTACATTTTATTACATTAACTTTCTGTGTGATTGAATGTTTTTGTCTGCTCGTTGTGTGGAAAACAAAAACTGCTGTTATACTGTTTCAGCAAGTGATGACGGTTTCTCCTTTAGAGAGTTTGTTTTATTAAAAAAAAAAGATATCATTTCAGTCACTCTTTGTTTTCTTAGCAGCAAGGACAGAAAGTCATTTGAGTGATACATTTACGTGTGAAGATGTTGAATCATTGTGACTGCAGCTCGTCTCCGCTGCCACCATTCAGCCACACAGTGAAAACTTGATGACAACGGGTTGAAAGCTGATATTTTCTTCAAGCATGCCTGCTATTTGCAGTGTGAAACCATCTGCCTCTTTCCCCCTCCATGGACCTAATTAGGCCAAGCTCCCGGAGCTGCAGCCTTTTCCCTCCCCTGGTGGCCAGGCCGTGACTGAGAACGAGGAGCTGGTCTGGATGCCAGGGGTCAACGACTGTGACCTTCTTATGTACCTCAGAGCTGCAAGGTGAGCCCAGGGAAACTCAGGTGCACACACACTTCTCCATGGCTGCAGAGTCCAAGACATTACACCTGGTTCACCAAAGAAATTGACTTTTAAAGATGAATTCAAATGTGTGTAATTCCAAAACTTCTTACTTTTCCAGTACTGGCATCTTTGTGTATCTGCGTCATTTCTGCACAAAAAATATGCCTGAAAGAGTTGTCAGTGAAAGTAAAACTTTTGGAAATCCTTTAATTCACTGCTTTTCACGAGATCTGGCATCTGTCATAGTGTTATAATTGGTTTAATGTTATTCTTTTAATTAGATGCTTGTTGCAGTTCACATGTCTTTTAACAGGTTTCCTCACCTCTTTTGTTGTCAGGAGCTGCAGTATAACCAACCAGTCTGTCACAACGCTGATCATGTTGAACTGTCAGAGGGCTTTCTTTTGTTTTGAATTTTAAGAGTACAGTAGTCCCTCGCTACTTCGCGGTTCGTTTATTGCGGTTTTTCAAAATAAGGTTGGACATGACACACAAGTGGCTGATTGATGGATGAGCCGCACAATTGGCATGGAAATTTTATTTAAAATAAATTATTTTAAAAATATTTAGCACATTTGTGCAGCCCATACTGCTGGACAAACTTCCTGCTGCAGCTGATCAGCTGCTCACCGTGCAGAGCGGTGCTCGCAGGTGGCAAAGAGCAGAGGAGGAAAGGAGCTGAAATCATAACATTCTGTGCTCTTTTAGAGCGTTTAGAGTTTAGAAACATTGTTTAGAATATTGC